GTGAAATGGCATAAACCTGAACTGAATTCTTCACCACCCAGCACTGGGATGATATGTGCTGACAAAAATATTAGGTGCAGTGGAAAAAGAAAATGGAAATGAAAGTATCACGTTTCAATCCTGGGAAATTCTCTGTACCCTGGATCTGTACCCAGGAAAATTAACTGCTAGCTTTGAGTTAGCATCCATATTAGCTATGGACAGTGTTTAGACAGTTTTGTTTTAGTAGAGTTTTACCTGGCACCAGTGATGTCCCTGACTTACAGTGTCATCAGACATCATTGATAACTGGCCCACACACAAAACATCCCAACATATCCATGGTGATTCGTGAAGATTTGGAAAAAGCATCCAGTTGTGCCACATGTTCATCTTTATGTGATGCTTTTAGAGAGCCATTCTCCCTACTTACACTCCCCAGGTCACACTTGACCTGAACATGAATAAATTATTAAGAAAGGATGCAGGGAATTATCGAGAAGTGCTTGAAAACATCTGGAAAAGAAGAAAAGACAGAACAAGAAGTAGTTTGAAAAGAAAACAACACAACAATGTGGAAATTGTGGTCAGAAAAAAAGCACAGCATTTCAGGTTAGAGAGGATCAGACAGACAAAGCCAATGAGCAGAATATGCATTTTGACAGGACATTTCTCTCCAGTAACTCAAACCTCGCACCCTCCCTGTCTGTGCTCCTTAATAGGACCTGTCACAGCTTTTATTGGGACAAAATAACAAACACATCTTACCGTATAGCAGACCCAAACTAGACAATTAACACACCTTTTTATGAAAGGGACCTTGTTTCAAGCAGCCAGTAGCAACATTTTTGGGCTCACAGACAATGTAGGTGTGGTGTTCTCCTGTTAGATCAGTTAAGTTGCAATTTGCCACAGGGTAATAAGAGTCCCCCCCCCCCCCCCCCAAAAAAAAAAAAAGTGTTTGTTTACCCTGGTAAGTGGCAAAAGTTCTGCAAATTCTGGCTTGCGGGGAAAATGGATTCAGATAATGATGAAGCATTGAAGAGATGTTGCTTGTTGTTTGATCTATAGTGTCTATGGCATAATGGGCTCAGCAGCAGCTCATACATTGTCTTGGGTCTATTTATAACATTACAGTGTTAATGGTTTTGCAAACCTGAACTTCAGCTCCACTCAACCATACCCTCTTGAACTAAAAAAACATCAACCTCAGGATTCAGTGCAGCACTATCACTATTTAGATCTCAAAGCTAGATTCAAAGTTACAGAAGTATTGAGTCGAGGTTTTCCCTTTTTTGGCCAAACATTACTGGCCTATAAATGTGTCTGCTCTTGTGTAAAACCCATCTACAGTGGTTGACAGATCTTTCCTGACAGCAGTAAATATCCACCGTGAAAGGCAATTTACTCATCTGCTGCTTTGGTCTTTTGTACTCTTATGGTCATTCTCCGTTTCATACATCTCGTATGTGGTTCCATTGCTTTGTATTTTTGTCTGTCTCACTGATGTTGTGCTGAGATTGCACACCTTCAATGCACTTTGGGTCCAAGTATGCCTCATGTGTGAAATTAGTAAGAACAGGCACTGGAGTGGTGTAAACTGTTTCACCAAATCATCTGCCAGAAGCAACAGAGAATAAAGGTGCTTTCCACAGAGGAGTGGTGGAACATTTTTCTTTTTCTTCATTGAAACCTAAAAAAAGGGACTTCGTCCTCTTGAATATGGAATCAGAGTCATCACTTTAATTCCAAATGAATTGCTCAAGGTTACCTCTTTAGCAATATCATTGTTTACTGAAGTATAAGGCACCTACATAGAATTTATTTTCTGACATGTCCATTTTATGCTTTTACAATGGTTTCCAATCTAGTATAAATTCCATTATTTACCAAGAACTCTTTGTTCTACTGCTCACAGTACTGTTGAGCTTCATCAGCCCATTGTCACAATCAGCAATCAGCAGAATAAGCCATCAGCTAATTCTTTGGTCACACTTGTTTCTCATTTACAGGACGGGATATTCTGTTAAACCCGCTGCCCTCTCTTAGCTGCCTCCATCTCTCTGCATCTTTTTTTTCCTCCTGTCATTTTGCCCCACCATCATTCTCTGCACTGCGCCACCTTCTCTCTTCAAACAATATTGAATATATTAAAAATCTCCCACAACCAGAACTCATCATGGTCAAGCTCATATGGAAGATTAAATCAAACATGTTCCACACATGTTTTTAAGACAAACTGTCTACCTATCAGGGAGGCCATTATGCTTGATTGAAAGCATACAGCGTAAAAGTTATCCCAATAATTTGTGTTTAACACCTACTTAACATGGTGCATTCTTCGGCACATTTCTAGTCTGTTAAATTCACCTTAAATGTAAATTTAGACTACCCCCAAAAACAACCACTCTTTAAATAATAATAGCTGTGCCCCACTTCCATGCTACAATTCTATCTGCAAGTCCCATCACATAATGCTATTTTGCTGTACTCTTGGGGTTTTTGCAATTTTTATTCTTTGTTCTATTTAAAATATTACTTTTTTTTTTCTTTTTAGTTCTATGACATGTTGCTCCAGTTTCCTTGATCCTGTTTCTAACATCTGCAACACCACATTAACAGCCTGCTAATTCTGCTCCCTTGATCTAGGGCCCTGTTGATATCTGGTGGCTCAGGGAGATGAGACACGGCAACGTGTTGGTGCATCAATCGAATCAAGATGATGGTTTTTGGCATAAACAAATATTAACACCTCAAGTGCTCCATTGAAAATGACGAAAAAGGTTTTTGTGTGCGCTGAGTTTGACCCAGGAGATTTAAAATTAGCAGCGCGTATTCTTAAAATTTTATTGGTGCTATAAAATGATACATTTTCACGCATTTGCTGCTGTTTTTCTAATGGATGCCAATTTTATGGTTGCCAGTGTGACAGGCCAAGACCACTTCACGTTATGACACTGTCACTCCCTCACCGGGTTCAGGCGATAGCCTCACGTAATAATGATGTTAGTGATTAAATTATTTGGTCTGAGTTAAAACGCTTTATGATCGAGATTTCATCAATTGTTTGTAGGGTTTGGGTGTTTAAACAAAAGACCCCTTAACTTTTTTTATTTTTTAGAATAAGATTGTCCCTCACACTTTCATGATGTTAAGAAGATTTTTTAATCTTCTCACATTTGTTCTTAAAGTATTTCTCTGCCCCCAACTTCATATTCTGTGTGAGTTTATGCTGTTGAGGGAATAGATGCTCATGTAGCCGAGCTTATCGGATGGGTACTTTTGCAGTATTGAGTCAACGCTGCCCATGAAGAGGGGGGGATGAGGAAAAAGAGATGAGGGAGTTTGATGATAGGTATTTTGTTACAGTTGGGGATCTTTGAGCTAGCAGGGTGTAGTTGTCTCCGAATTGAAGTTATTATCTCTCAGCACAAACCAAGATTGTCAAATTGATTCAGCATGATTGTTGTGCTCAAATAGATTTGCCCCCTCTGCACACAACACAGACAGGTAATAATTTCAGTTGTTCCCTCTACTGTATGTTAACAAGTATTCCAACGGTGGCATTTTGTTTTTCCTTGCTTTAGCTGTTGGGTGAAGACAGATGAAGATAGATTAGTCATTAAAGAGGAGTGAAGGGGCACTGCTTTGGTGTTGATTAATTTGAATTAACACCTGAACACATATGAAATGTTTTTACCTTTTTTTTGGCACGTCATGTAGATAGTGAGCTCAGGTGTAATAAAAAGCAAAGCACAGCAGTGGGGAAGCATGATCATCACAATATTTGTAAAATGTCACGAACACTTTCTTAAAAAAAAAAAAATCTCAGTGTGTCTGCACCTTTAGAATAGGATGAGGTTTCAGTACAAGCTCACCTCAGTGCCGTCACCTTATGAGCCACTGGATATTTCACCAATCTGTTCGTAAATCAGTAGTGTCTTATTTATTATTTCAAATTAAACGATAAAATTGTTATTCTTTCTAATGTTTGTGGTGCACAGGGGCTTCAACCCTGTTCAATTTGATTTCTCCAGACCACCAAGCACATGAGAATACATTGATCTGCAGAGGGATTGCATATATGAAAAGCTATCAGAGACCAATGAGGCACAGCCTACAGCAATTTTAGCAGGAAAGTGTCTGAAATGGTATATGTATATGTAGTATATATTTATATATAAAACACTGCAAAATTGGTAGCTTCTTGCAGCAATCTTTTATTTTCTCCCACTCTCTCACCTCAGTATTCTCTGCTGAACCTTCACGCTGTGTTTTTGCCCTTGCATGGTAATATGTGTGCAGTGAATGTTCCGACCTCATCAAATCATACTAAATTGCTGGAGGTGCGGATTCTCTTTCAGCTTGTATGATATTCATGTTTGAAGTGTTTTTTCTTTAATAGCACCTGAACCTGCTGTCCTCTGGTCCCTTTTCTCCTCTCTACAGGTGCTGAAGGGCAGTAAAAAGCTTTGTCTCTCAGTGCGATCAGTTGGGAGGATTCCAGGCGGCTACATCACCAACCATGTTTATACCTGGGTGGACCCCCAAGGTAGAAGTGTGTCTCCTCCTCCTGATCTGCCCGAACATCGGAGTGCCACTCTGAGGAGAACTGACAGCCAGCGACGCAGCAACATGCAGCTTCTACAGGACGGAGATGAGAAGAAGGTAGAGTAGATGGATTTAAAATAATGAACTGCGGGGCAGGGTTTAAAGCAATCCTCCAATGTCACTTACCGTACGCTAATAGTATTTTTAAACATATTTGAAGAATTGCCCATAGCAAAACTTGTGGTGATGTTTTCTTGCATAAATCTCTGAAAATTAATGAAGAAATTAATGTTCATACTATCTCTCTCTCTCTCTCTCTCTCTCTCTCTCTCTCGCTCTCTCTCTCTTTCTCACTATCTATCTATATGAATATGCATATATACATCTATTTAACACACACACACACACACACATATATATAACTACAGCCTGTCTATATATATATACAGTATATATACTGTATATACAGGTTGTAGTTATTACAACCTGTAAGGTTTAATCTTAATCCAGAGTCCATCCATCCATCCATTTTCCACCGCTATAGCCGGGTCGTGGGAGTTTAGGACCGTTATTTTGATCTTTAAACACGCAAAATACATTTATGCTTCTTTTTTTGTGACAGCCCATGTAATTTTTCTTGTGTCACACATATCTGAAGGTCATGGGTTTGAAGTTGGCTTCGGTAAAATCTGCAAAAAAGCTTCCTTTTTTGAGTCTGTACTTTAGAGGTGACTAATTTACTGGTCTCTGCATGAGGGAAACTGAAAGGCAGCATTGAGCAAAACACAGTTGGTTTGGTAATGTGAGAGAAGCTTTGGATGTGGCAAATTTTTAGTCTGCTAAACATTGATGGGTTGGTGATGGAGCTACAACTTAATCCTGAAATAAATGAATGCCTTTGTTTGCTGAGAAACCTTTTGAAATCATGCTAATTGAGTTTTAAGTGATTGCAATCTATACCTTACTGTTAGTTCTTCCTTAAAATAGTCTAGGAAAGGGAACTCTTATTTTTTACACAAACAAATCCCATTCATGATAACATGATTGTGGCTCTTTTCCCCACAAAATCCCTTTTAATTTCATTATAAAGCATAACACCTGACCAATGGACCTCCTTTTAGTGAGAAAGAGCAATGAACTGAGGGAATCTATGAGAATTAAGAGCTGCAATGTGAAGCCAATAACAAATGAGTCCTGCAATTACAGCTATTCTCAGCTCTAAAATGTCAAAGAACTTAAATGCCTTCATATTCCCAAAGGTGGGTAAAGGTGATTGGGGTGGTCCCTAAGTAGCATATTTCTATTATTAATTTTGGAAGGTAGAGAAATGTCCTGTGCCAGATGCTATATTTATACCCAGTGGGTATGTAAAAGATTGAAATGGGCATTTTTATTTAGATATTTGCATATGGACCTTCTTGTAGCCATCACTGTGAAACTGATACCCCAAGTCAATCTTTTTTTAAATTTTATAATTCTATTTTATTTTATACCCCTAGTCAATCTTTGTGTGCAGGAGATATATCATGAACAAGTCATGGAAGATGTAAATTTGATGGATGGAAAACACAATTCAAAGTTTGGCACAGTTCAGCTATACTGACAAAGTAAACTCAAATTTGCTGTCTTGTGTTTTTTTATGTACACATCTGAGTACATCCAAATCATCTAAAGTGCTATATTCTACACGTGTTATCATTGAAAAAAAAAGACAAAAAACAAAATTGTAGCCTTTTTTAAAAGGTTTTACATTGCACAAGGAAGAGTCATCTGATCCTTTACAGATCTTAATCTTAAATAACAACATCGCCTTCGGTTTTACATAATTCATTTAAGAAAAACCAAGAAAGAATGTCATTTTAAAGAATTACATAATAACAATATTGTGTCAGGTCCTCAGTGCTTCCAGTTAACCAGAATGCACAGCTCATGCAATTGTAAATAATGGCATCTCAAGTTGAGTTTGATTGGTCTAAAAACATTGTTCTGTATGACTTTGGGTTTGTTAAGATCCCAATTTGCAAACAAGCCAAATGTCCTTTTATGATTGTAATAACAAATTAAGATATTGTGGAATCTCTCCTTCAGCGACTGGTAATTGCCTTCTCACTTGTGAATGATTATTACAGAACAATTACAAATTGTTTTGAAATTATTCTTTAATCCATTCGAGATTGGCAGTGAACACTGCTCATGGCTTTCCAAATTGGAATTGTTTTAACACTTACAAGACCACTGCCAAAATGCATGTTTTTTAAAATACTTCAGTCAGTTTCCTTTTACTTGTGTTTTCATACATTACTCAGAAATTAGTACACATTTTCACACAACTGTGTTATGAATCTGGTAAAAGAGAAATGCTGACTATACATTTTTAAACCATCAACTTGTAATCATGTGTCTCAAGAAAAATAGCACTCTGATGTTAAAAATTACTTCATTAAGTGAGTGAATGACTCAAGGGGGAAAGCAAATTGAGTGACATTCTTGATGAGGTGACCTGGCGTCACTAAACAAAGCAAGCACATTTTACCTCTTAAAATCCAGGCCTGTGGGTTAGAATAAACAGTAGCCATTTTATCAGACAAATGAACGCCTCATAAATCCTGTAGCCTCTGGCTCACTGCTCAAAGTATTTGATAGATTAAAGTCTCGAGCAGCAGGGTAGTCAGTGTTATAGGTGTACTATTTTACACATACTTAATATTAGCTTTATCCTGTTTAGATTTGAAAAGAACTATGCAGTGCTAATGTGCCAATCAATAAATTAAGCAATACTTCTTATATCCTGACCATTCAGAGTTGGACTTTTGAGACTACCTCTTTCAGCTCTTAGTGTTATTATGCTATATTTAGTTTGGGTTACATTTGGATGTCATATTAATTTAATATTATTGGTTTGCTTTTTTTCTTCGTACAAAGTATATGATACTATTATGCAAACCTTTTTTATTTCCCCTGGGAGTTCTGTACAGCCTGGATATAGCTTGAAATTGGTCATTGCTCTATCAGTCCATAGACTTCCTGTGGAACAAGAGGGATTTGGTAGCATTTTCTAAATAAATAGATACATACATAAATACATAAATACATACATTAGATAGTCAGTTTATCTTTATTGGAATGTTTTA